TCCATAGAAAGTGGATGCATCTTCCTTAACTGAAGGAATTCTTCTAGTTGTACCTTTCCGTTTCCCCCGTTATTATTATTATTACACTACCTTACACAAATCTGTGGTCGTTATTGTTCCTTTTTAACCTCATACGCAATTTACTTTTTCTCTCTCCCGATTCTCATTGTTTTGTGTGGCGCATATGTATTTGGCGCCCCCTTGTGCCAATATTTATGTGTTCAAATAAATAAAATAATCCGCAGAACATATAGTGCGTATTCGGTAACTAAGGGTTTTGATCAAGTTTCGTTTGTACTATTGAGGTACAAAGCTAAGGAACTTGAAGAGAATTTTTCGCCAGAAAAAACACTTTAATCAGAAGGGGTTTTGTGGAGATTCTAGTAATTTTAAAGTTGAATTCATGAGTCTATTGAAACTAGACCACCATGAAAAACCTGGAAGCACTGAATGGCCGTTTCGTCCTATTGTGTGACTCCTCGGCAGTGTGCAGCCACGATCCCGCCTCCCGAGATTTGAACCCAAGACCTATCAGTCTCTCGCGCGAACTCTTAACCTCTAAACCACTGAGCCGGTATCCAATGGTGTTAATGTCTAACTTCAACCAATCCACAAAATTGAGCCACCGTCCATTTTACTCATCATCCTACATTCGCGTTATAATTCGTTACTAACATATTAAGTCTACTGATATTATTCGTATTACGCAACCTAGTATTATAATCTTTCTCTCACATCATCTTCGTTATCCCTTGTTCACATTTCTTCATGGAACTATTACTTTCATATATATAAGATTGTACAGGTTGATAATAAATTCGTTGATAAAAGATCTCTTCGTTGAAATTCGTGTTTTAAAAAGTATAATATACTGATGACATTAGGGGGATTATCAGTCAATCGGGAAACGCTGTGTAGTGATAAATTAAGTAACAATAAAAAGCGATAAAATGACAGTGGAAATAAAGAGTTCATTTGGATTATCAACACCCACATGCCAAATTATGCTTTGTAATAAAGGAGAAATATCAAGTTTGCACATTAGAAATCACGATAGTACACTGAGTTAGAGTTTTCGTCCCCAACTTACATCGATTATAATGTAAAATCGCTAGGACTAGACAGTTTGAGCAAAGCGGCAGATTCGAGTTGGAATTCTCATCACAAAACGACATTAGTTATAATCCAGCGCTTCACCACATTACCGTGTGCAAACTTAAGAAACTCAGAGTTGCTGCTATGGTGCTGTCTAAAGTAACACGAAGATGCACTTATCGGCATCTCATCATCAAGCATCCTTCAAAACAAAGAAGAAGGGAATCACAATGAATATTATCCAATGTGTTGCAACCAACAATGATAGCAATGACGACAATAAAGATCTGTTTTATGAGAGGCTGGAATCGATCACAGTAAAGAGCCCAGCAAAGGATCTGACCATCTCAATAGGAGACATAAACAACAAATTTAGAATGGACAACGCCGGATATAAAGATATCATAGGACGACATGGATTAGGAGGGAAACGAAAATGGGGAGAGATTCGAGAACATATGTGCATTCAATAAATTGGTTATAGGCGGCACAATATTCATCCAAAAATGCACACAGACATTCCCATAGATGTCACTCCACCAACGATCGAACAAACCAAAATGGTCGTCAGGCAAATAAAAAGTAGGAAAGCAGTAAGATCTGACAACAGACCAAATAAATCACTGAAGTCACTCATAGAAGCAAATGCTAACATGATCCATACTCTATTCAAGAAGATTTCGGATGGAGTACAAGTACCACGGACAGAATGGAAAAAAGAATATCTCATCGAGATATCGAAAAAAGATGATCTGTGCGAATGTGTGAACGATAGAGGAATCAACAGTGTTACTGAACGGGATGAAGGACTCAACAGACAAACAACTTCGAGATCAACTGTTTGTACTGTGTAAGGATCGGTCGTGCACAGACGAGTAGCGATACCACGGATCATCGTTGAGCAAAAAATTGGAAGGAATTCGTCACTATACATCAACTTCCTCGAACGTGAGAAAGCATTTGACAGTATGGAAAGAAGAAACTGATGGAACATTGTCTGACATAATCGTACATGATTCTTACCACAGACTACACTGCGACGTCATGCATAAAGTAAAGAATGGTGTCAGACAAGGCTGCTTAATATCTCTCTTCTGGTGGTTGGAAGACCCACATATCTCGAAGAAAGAATGGAATACAATAGAAAGCTTAGACGTAGTTAGATGATGCGTACACAGTAACAAGTGCAGTTGCAGATAGACAGTGTAGTAGTAGTTTCTACATCAGTAGACCCTAATATACACAAGCGAAAAAGCAGTATCCTCAAATATGATACAGTAAGCATCAACCCAATCACACGTAATGGAGCTGCTCTGCAACAGATGTAACTTTCACGTACCTGGACAGCATCAACGATGAACAAGAGGGATCTGATGTAGACGTGAATGCATGGATCTGAACAGCAAACACAGCATTCCTACAAGTGAACAACACTTACAAATCAAAATAACTTTCAGCCAATAATCAAGTATTGTATGGAGCTGAAATCACACAACTACCACATCCATCATCAGAAAGATACGGGTATTTATAGACATCTGTCTACACAACATGTTCCTGATCCGTTCACCGGATACCATCAGCAATAACCTATTGTGGGAGCTAACAAACTCGATTTCCATTTGAAGAGGAAATTATGAAAAAACAATGGTGTCATTGACACAGTGCACTAGATGTTTCAGACTTAAAAGCGACTATAATGTACTTGTGTTTGCTAGTGCTATACTGTTCCAAGAAGATAAGTTTTAGATCCATTTATGCATCACTAGGAATGTAAATAATTTCATTATCAACGGGAATTATCTATATATCGAACTCTATTCTTCACTTCATCTCACGATATTCGTTGTTGTTATTCTACAAACATTGATAGGAATTAATTGTGTGAAACAATTTCCAGTCATCAGGTGTACGTAATTTTGAAACATACTCAGTAAAAAATGAATCAAGTTAGAAATCCTTTAGTAATCTGAAAATTTATCATCACTCTGAGATTCGATAGATGAAATAGACCACCCCAATATCTTTGGATCATCTAAAGGTCCCGAGACTTTTGAGAAAACATCCAGCTGTGTTGAATCACCACTTTATATTACTCGTCAATACTGAATACAATGAGCTAAACATTTATGTCTCCTCAAGTTATTACGCATCTTTCGACTAGACATCATCAGCAATAATCTAGTCTGGCAGAGAACAAGCCAACTTTCAAATAGAAAGGGAACTAGGAAATAACACGAGATGCATAGGATACATACCGCGGAAATGATGAGATTGAGTCCCAAGACAAGTTTTAACTAGAAGTCCCCAAAGAGCACGAAAAAAAAGAGACTAAAGATCACATAACACAGGGAATTGAGGGCAGTCATCAAAAAGATGAACAGCATTTCAAAACAACTGGAAAATAGTGCCCAGATGAGTCGGTTGGAGAATCCTGGTCTTCGGTCTAAGCTCCACGAGGGGCAACGGTAGTTAGTTATCAAATAATAAACTTCGTAAATTCACGCAGTAGATTATTATTATTGAGAAACTACCTGACGATGACCTTCAACGACATATCCTACGATCGGCAGCATAGAGCTGGAGATACCTGAGTATTTTTGATTTATAAAACTACTTCATACTTTTCTATTTACAATTTCAATAGGTCCATTTTGGAATTTACTACTGAAAATAAGCTTGTCATTGTGAGAAATATGCTTAACTCTCTCTCTCTCTCTGTGGTTATACCAATATATGCAAATGGCAGCTAAGATGGTTACGCATTCGTGCAAACACATCTATTACTGAATAAGCGGTTGTAAGCTTATCAAGTTAGTTAGATTGACACATTAGCTTCTGTAACAATTAAAGTAATAAAAATGACATTAAAAAAATATACACCTTACTAAGCTTAGTTTAGTCTTGCTCTTATCATCCCATTAACCACTTCACATTAATGACTAACTATTTGTTTAAACCTCATGATTGATTTGGTTTGCTATGTCATACACCGTCCCAGTGACTCAGTCAATTGATTTAAGCAACTTGAATGTGGTGTAATATTTATGAGAGTCTTACGAAATACTAATACATGCAAAACAATCGAATATTTACTTTGTGCACAATTACACTTACATAACAGTATGGATAAACCGACGCGAACAATAAAAGGTAACGATAGATGTAAAGTAACGATAAGTTTACCAATAATTAGGTTTTCAGAAGCTCTGATCGATAATTTTTAGAAAAATTATTTGAAACTTAGTCCACTTATATTGAAAGTGCTTACAGCAATTACCTATATGTTAAAAAATCCACAGTGAAAACATAAAGCAACATCACTGATGAAAAAATAATATTGAAATCGATTATTAACAAAGTTTTACTCTCGATATGTCAATGAGTGAACATAATATCTAACGATTAAGTGAGTATCGGAAAATATATTTCAAAATATTCGAATCGACACCATATTCATTCCAACATTCTCTCAAAAGTTTTTCATTTTGTGGAATCTTTGCTGAGATTTTGCATCTACTTCTAAGAACATCCAATAAAGGACTTCCACTCGGCATATACAACTCTGTATAAATTGTCTCCAGTATCTTCTTCCAATTCTTACTGTAATCAACATAGTGTTGTTCTCGAGTTCTACCATTCATCTTCAACTGCGGATAATCAAACAGTTCACTATTCGGCTCAAAAACACTCAAATAGGTGACCAATCGACCAAATATACTACTCGTCTTGTCACTGACTGACGGTCGAGATGAATTCGTCAAATATTCACAGTCAGTGTGATAATAAAATGGATCACTGGATATTCGACGGTACAGCTTCCGCAACTCAATCAATTCATTCAAATCTTCAAAAAACACTATACACACAGATCGCACCATTCGACTGGCAATCTGATGTGCGATTCATGAACGGATAAATCTAGCTGTCAAGTTCTCGAAACACTGTTTGATATCTAGTTTCAGAGGACGCACCAAACCAACATTATTTATAGGTCTGATTGGATGTTCCAAATCACGATGCTTCGTCGCCATGTGGAACACATACAGTTTCGAGACCCAATAACCAGTAATACGCATCGCTTCAATTTTGTCACGTTCGTCTGTCAACCCATACCTATCCATTAGATCACTTCTCAGTATCGCACTTGCATAACTGTCTCTCAACAACCCACACGGAGCAAATCTGTTCTCCTGGAAATAATTAACAACAGCAGCAATCATCACTCGAATACATGCATCTGTCATTTCAGCATCGATCACATCCATCATTTCATAACTGTTGGCAAAATTGCCAACGGTCCAACGGCCATAGTACCAGGCACCATCTTGACGATTCTCCACTACTCTATCAGGTGTGGAGACTTGTTCGACAGGTGTTTCTCCATCAGAAGCAGATCGTTCATTTGAATCCGACGATTCAGGCACTTCTGCAAGTAGTCCAGCGAGAATCGCAGCACTGGCAGCATTCGCCAGCCATTTTTGAAGAGGTTTGAAAACCGATTCACCAACATTTTTGTAGACGTATGCAGAGGCCATTGCGGCAAACTTCACCCAGGCATTCTTAACAGGTCTGAAATGGTCTGTGTTGGACTGAGGCATCATACTCTTGTCGAGCATCAGCATGAATCGAGTATCGAGATCAGATAAAGCAGTGAAAGACAACTCAATTGAAATCGCCATCTACATGTCGCAAACTATCAGACAGAATGTGCCCTAAATCATTAGCCAAATTATCCAAATCCTCAGTGTTCTCAACCATGTTCTACAAAAGAAGTTCGAAATCGAGACTATAATGATGTGTATATTCCTGTATTTAGATTGATTAGGTTTGGAAAATTTTCTAATGATTTATTACAAGATACCGAAGAATGGTGACTACCTAAACTATATTAATTACTGGTCCAACCAACAATTCGGTTAAAATAAGTGTTGTGAATCTTCATTTAGTGAATTACTTTCTAATATTCATCACTACATTATTCCTCAAAGGAGGAACACATGTACATGGAGAACTGTTATGTTCTTTATCATTTGAGTACCAAATATAGCATGAGAATTTCATCTTGTAGGGCCAGTGAAATGTCACTGAGCCCTAGCCAAATCATCCGGCAGTTGTACCACTGAATGTCGAACAGATCATCGCTCCCTGCCAAGGTCATGTACAAGCAACGCGCATTAGTTTAATCATACGCCATGGACTGGCCCATGCGTTAGTGGTCTTACTTTGGCTTGTATCTACCTTAACTAATATATTTCTGTAATAACGTCCTCTGTGTTGTACAGTCTTCAAAGCATCTATGGTACCTTGATACGTCAATGGGGTAGTCCACGTAAGGTGCTGACCACGAGGTGTGACTTCGACGTTAGCTACTTTATCACACCATTCGCGTCTAACTCGAGTAGGCCTCCAATCATTTCGACAAAGATCATCTATGTTGGTGATCTACAATCTATTATGCAGGCATATGTTGTGATTACCATTCTATATCAAATATCGAGACAAAATCCCTTCTCATTCTACAAATCATCACTATAATCGGTCGTTGATAAGTGACTGTAAAAAATTGGGACTGGTCCTATGCAGATACGTGACATTTTACGGTAGACTCAGTATTAATTTAAACACACAGGTTAGGTCACAAGAAAGACGTGATTCAGTGAAGAAATTCTTCACAACCAACTCATTTTTAAAACATGACAATACCGTATATGTGTAATGAATCTCAAATTTACCAGGAAATTAGATATTCTTTTACTAAAGCTTATGATTAACTGACATTGTCGTAGCCTTACACATTCAACGTACACATGTCAACTGACATTGACTGGTTAACATCAACGACAGGAAATCACAAACCATCATACTATCACACGTTAAATCGAATAAAATAGGAAATTCGCTTTTCACTAGATATCCCAATCGAGATTTGTAGGTGCTTTAAAATATTAGCCGGAGTAGAGGTCATAAATTGGTTACAAAGTTTTAGTTAAATAGTTAGGCAAGATAATTTTGTAGATATAAGTGATGAGTCGACACTGGAAAGGCTGAGTTAGCGACAATGTCACCATTGACGAATCTAAAACAAATGGTATTTGCTAAAAATCACCATCAAGTCATAACTTCAAAACAAATCTAACGATACGATGAAAATGAGACGTCTTAGTGCATTACCCCATGGTTTAACCCTTATTTACTAACAGAATATTCCCTTTATTCCCCGTTCTTTGATTGGTTGAGGCGTTGTACATGATTATATATAAACCATACTAGACTTATCATTTACTCGTAGATACATTATAGTAGTGTTGAGGATACGTCAAAGAACGATATTCCAAAACAAATACGAACACTGAACCGAAACGGCAACAAAAATATATTGTACCTCTAGCATGTATTATTAGCGTTTACTTGGAAGCGGAAGAATTCTGAACCAACAACACAACAATCAGGACCAGTAATTGCTTCTGGAGCAAGAACGCGACATACTAGCACAACAGATATATTTTGAAAATTAAAAGACGCGGTTCGGGTACAAAAAGGGACATTTTACGACAAAATAGTTCTATCCACTGTTCTGTAGGTTCAGCTTACAAAGGGCTCCTTCCAATACATCTACATTTTGTTGCCCTGTAATAAGAAAACACACGTCACGTTAAAGGATTTTAACATTGTTACATACCGACGACCTTCGGCAAACGACGGGTGGCCTTCAGATTAGCCAATCGGAATGCAACCTTCAGACTTGAGTATTAAAGACACAAGGCCTACATCCTGTGTTATTCATTTTATGATATAATTCTGTGAGAGTCTATTCTACTCTTGAATGAATCAATTGAAGGTACAGACACCATTGCTCGGTGTGTAAATCTGTATACCATAGGTATTTTGTTCATTGTTGGTTTTTCTACTCACTTGCTATGTGCCCTGATATTTCTCGATCTAGCGGATGGAAAAGATATATTAGGTCTAAAATCATCTCTTAGTATTCTGTACATCAAAATCAGATCACCTCTTAATCTGCGGTATGACAGAATAAAGAGATCTAGCATTTTGTGACTCGGGATGTGACTCCAGGTTGATTGTACAAATCAGTGTTATTAAAGTATACATATTGACAATCCTCGTATATAACCATCGACTTAAATTGAGTTAGTGAATAAACCAAATACTAGAATGGAATTTGAATATGTATATTTCATGCACTTATTATTGATTTGAACATACTGTAGTGACTCACTTTTATCACGAGAACACTATTGGTTTAATGAAAACAATTATTATTATAACCAACTGTACCAGTGCTTGTTTAACGTGCTCTTTGTTTAACTGTGCTAATCGCAAATATATTATGCTACCATTATTTCTCACACTTTGATTGTGACTGCGCGCGAATTCGGTTACGCTCTGTAACCAAGATTGTATCCTGGCACGATCTCGGTATTCTTTCGATGTCACGAGATCGCCAGCAAATATATCTCGAGTTGGTCCATTAACTGCCTTCTGATATTCCACTTCCGGGGGATTTTGTGGATATTTTGGCACGTGTTTCTCTGTAGTGGTGTTCATAGTCAATTGGGACTCGACGCCACGCTACAATACAATCAAGAAGACGAAACAAAGAGTGAAGGGTGAAGCAAAATGGCCAAGGCAAGTGGCCTAACTAGATTTAACCAAGCGTTTATTGGTACTTTTAATCACACAAAAATAACTTACAGACATGTGATGAATAGAAAATTATGTACACACACATACGTTCATACAAAAACAGTAAGGGTTAGTGAGTGAATAATTAACTAAGTCAAAGCGTGACTTATGAAGAATGAATTGATTGGCCTGTCCGGAAGCTAGAATAAGCTCAAATAAACGCATACCGATTCTTGGGTGTATTTCATTCGCGTGACGAGAATTTTCCTTAACATAATAACCAAAACTACAAGCTTTACAAGCCACTCTTTGTAGCGGCTAGCCCAGAGTTCTGGGATTGCACGATCGGCTACCTTCTATACTTTTTCTAGGATGTCCGAGTCACCTTTTAAACAGGGCCTTACAGCTGAACAGAGTTCACGAATTTGATTCCTACTAAGGTTGTCTATACTGTAGTGAACATAGTAGTATATAACTTGATGAATGCTCGTCTTGAAGACTGCAACTTCTTAGCAATGTGCCGTGGTCCTAAAGTTATGGTTCACTGTCACCCCAAGATCCTTGTGACGGCGGACGAGGGGTACAAAAACTTCCTCTATGTGGCACCTATTTACCGCTGAAATCCCAAAGTGAAAGTAGACCACTTTGCCGCGTTGATAGCCACCAGCTAATTTTTAGACTGGCATTTGAATTTCATCCTTATTTTCTGTCTATGACATACCATGAAATCCCTGAGTCATTTTAGGAGAGTTCCGAAAATGACTAGATTTCCTAGTTTCAAGAGTAGTATATTTTTGGTGCCGCATCAAATGCTTTACTGAAGTTTATTTAGACATTATCCAATAACTTTCCATTGTCTAGGGTCTCCATCCATTGTTTACTAGCTATAAAGAGATTTGTTGTGCAAGATGAGCCTTTACTGAGATCGTGTTGTTCGCTGTTTAACAAGTTGTTGGTCTCCACGAACGTCATTGTGATCTTGAATATTCTTTCCAGGATTTTAACTACGACACTGGTGAGACCAACAGGTCTGTCATTTGATGAGAGTTGTCCTGATCCTATTTTATGTGTTTGGAGTGACGATTGCGTCCTTCGATTCCTTAGGTATTTCACCTTGGATAAGTAACATATCGAATGTTGTAGTCAATGTGGCGGCAACATATTGTGTAATTTGCCCCAAGATTTAAACATAAGGTTCACCCACTCCTGTTGACTTCTCCGTGTCCAAAGTGCTAAGGGTCCTGAATACACGATCTCGACCGGAGTCATTGACGATCGGATGATCAGACGATCTTTCGACTATGTATTTGGGTCTGGTTCTTCGTTTAGGAGAGGCTCCTGAGTGAAAACTATCTCGAAATGGTTTGCCATAGTCTCTGCTTTGTCCTGATCATTTTCTATCATTGAGGATCCACTCGCTTCCGTAATTAGTTTGAGGATACAAGATGCGACTTATGTACGAGAAACTTCTCCTGAACTGCCTGATTACAGATTGAGCTAACAGTTCATCATAATTTCGCTGAGTTTCCCAGAGTGCAATTATAAACCAATTTTGTTCTGACTTTGTTGTGATATTCAGAAAAATATCCCAAAAACAATTATCCAGTTAAGTCTTATGCTACCCTTGAACGTTAAATGGTGTCATTTTCTTATTGGTCGTTTCCCTAATGATCAGTATTTATTTCGCGTGTCATTTTCCTATTGGTCAATATTTATTCACGTGTCATTTTTCTGTTGGTCAATATTTATAGTAATACTAACTGTATGAATATGCATTTGTTTGTAAATCATTATTCTGCTCCTGACCCCATAAACAATTTTTCATCTACGGCTCGTGTTCTGATATATTGGAGATTGGGTAACAGTATTGGGGTCGTATTTGGATATCTGA